GTGTTCAAATGCTGTGGGGAAAAGCACCCAGCTCTCAGTCCGCATACAAGTCTGCTCAGAAGGAAAGAGGAATATTTAAAAGCCCCTGATAAGTCTACAAATTAAACTGCCCAGACATGCCCCAGATGTGTCCTGACATGTCCTGTCTGCAGGTCCCAGGGCATTCTGTGGGGAGTCAGGTTACAGGCGACACAGACCCAACAAAGGGCCAAGCTGACAAAAGACATTCAGGCACAAAATAAAGTGGCGAGATGCTTAGCAAAGCCCAGCGCCATTGAGTCATGCGGGGTGATAAGCTCCCAGGAGCTTTGGCCTGCCTACAAGATGCTACGTGCTTGTCCTGACTGTAGTCTAGACTGCCAGGAATCAATACTTGCTGTAAAACATGGTCTGATCTAGCAGCTATAACTGGTTAAAAAAGCTTTGTTTTCTGTCCATGTCCTCCCCTCCACACCCCACACCCCCCCCCAGTTGCATTTCACACGGTTCAGTCACAGTCTTATTTCACAACTGTGTGTTTTGAAAGAACTTATTAGCTCTAAGTGTAGGCTGGGCTTAAGACTCTTGCTTTATTGTTTACCCTGCCTGCTAGGCCTGTTTCTGGGGTCAGACCCAGGTTACCAATTACAGCTGTGATTAAACATACTAGCCCAGCTTACCCCTGGGCTTTTTTTCCCCTTAAATTCCCAGTGATTGTGCTTAACTGGTGTTAGCAACCAGGTGACTGCTGGGCACTGCCGTCACAATTGTCTGTGCCTTCTCTGGCAGAGCCAGATAATGAGATTTGAACCGGACCAATACATCTATTATTTTTAGAGTTCAGAACTGTTCCCAGAGATAATTTTTTTTATTTCTTTCTTTCTTTCTTAATGTAAAGAAAGCCACCCCTTGGCTTTTTAAATCTACATAGACAACCCCCAAAATCCTTCTCAAATGCTAGGGGGGAGGGACCTAGCTGGGAGAAGTGACAGCTGATTTAGCCATCTGGGACACTTCAAATCAGAAAGATTTGAATGCTAATTCTGTGTAACTATTTTACTGCTGATAACAGGGGGTGCGGATTCACACTGTGGCTCTTTGACTGGCAGCTGACTCTAATGGTATTCAAGGATGGCTTCGAATTGGGTTTTGTGTCTCATGCCTTATGAACTTCAGCCCAGCAGACTGAAAAATGTGTCATCACCCCCCCCAAAAAAAAAAAACCCATAGCAAGTCAAAATGTGGCGTGGGAACTGTTGCCTTTTAGGTGTACATAAAACACTGAGTTGTGTTAAGTCCGTGCGAGCAGCTTGGTCTGTCCATGCGGAGTTTTAACCCTCGATTGAAAGCCAAATATTCCCCTTTTATTGTAAAATTTCCAGCTCAACTGGTTTTGAACCTCACTTGGTTAAACAGGGACAGAGTGTTTGAAAGCCTATCTGAACTTCTGATTCCTGTCAAACCAGTTACAAATCTAGTCTGGCCAATTGCTATGCAGAAGTTTATTGGGTTTATTTATTTATTTATTTATTTAAATTGAAATCTAAATGCTCTCAGCCATTTCCAGTTAAACACAGGGCGGAAACTAATCTAGCCAGAACAGCATTAAAACCAGCTCTAACTTCTCTTTTTAAAATGAATTTTATTTTCTAATTGTTTGTTTACTCTGTAACTCCTCAAAGCGATGTGAAAGCATGTATTAAGACTTTTGCCCTGTCTTTAAGGCTGTAGTCTTGTAACAGGGCCAGAAATTATGGGCACATAACCCGCTTAGACATCCTTGAGCTCCACAGGAAATCTCTTATTGGAAGGGCTTAACTAAGACAATCTTATTTTGGAGACTAGAGCCTGTATTCGACCATATGAACACACACAAGACAAAAGCCCTAAGCTGTGCGAAGGGAGCCTGTTGAAAAACCATGATGAAGAATAAATGGAAGACCTGAATTTGGAGAATGGTGCCACCACTTATTTCATCCACTTGCAGAGCAGGGGGGACCAGGGGAACCTGCTTGCCAGGGTTAGATCATCATCAGCACTTAACGAACACTGTTAGCCCTAATGGCAAATAAACCTGCACTTGCTATTAGTGCTATTCTTGGCAGGCTGGAGGACAGAAGACCTCTTGCTATAATTACTGTCCAGTGACTCAGGACTGGATACCATCCAAGTACTTTTTAACGTGTTCCTTCTGTTGGATGGGAGAAACAAGCCCTTTGCCCTGCTCTCACCTTGTCTGGTTAGATTGCAAGCTCTGTCAGGCCTCCTGTGCTTTCCTACGGTAGAAAAGTTGAGGGTTTATTTTTGCTTTGGCTCCTTCTGATCTGTTTGTATAAAGGAAGGGTTTGCTTGCTTCCTAATTTTCTGCTGATTATGACTGTACCCACGCGCTGTGAGCGTGTCTGCTGGCTGACAGTACAGGTGTGTTTAAAGTAATGGAGCTGTGCGTGGACAAGCTCGGGCTGTGTGTTTATGCCGCCTCTTCCAGGGGCCTCTGGCTGCTGCTACCGTATAAATAACCTCCCCCTGCATCGTGCTGTGCTCTGGGTTTCGCATGCACCCATGTGCTCTTTCATGTGTGTTGCTGACTTACCGAAGAAAAAAAAAAAAAAGTCCTCAGACTTTAATCCTTGGGTTTATTTCAAAGCTTACAAAGGCAAATCGGGTTTATAGCAAGAGATTTGCTTGATTCCTTGTGCTGTGCGGATGAATGGAGTGGCAGATGGAGCGGGGAGGGGAGGACTCAGGGATGCCTTGGCTCTATCTTCTTGCTAGCTTGACCCTACTTCTGTGCCTGCTGCCCAAAGGGCTTTCATTTCAGCTGCACAGAACACGAAACGGGGTCAGTACAGACCTCTGCTTGGGCAGTATCTGTTATATCCACCTCTTCTATGGTTTCAGAACCTATTTTCTTACTCTTTGCTCTGGCTTGTTGGTTACGTATTGCCACACAGCCATCTTGTCATGCTTCAGAGGGTGTGAAATCCCATGTACAGTGTGTGCACGTAGGAATGACTGAGGTGCGAATAAAATGAGCTGCAGACTCTGGAAGCAAAAGGCCTCAAAAAATCCTATTTCACCCTTGAGTGATGGGAAATATTGGAAATTTGGGACCGGCTCTATGAAGAGGTGCCAGAAAACCTCCTCCTGCACGAAATCCCCTTTTGAGGGGGACTGGCAGGGCGGTGCTCTCGCTACCCCTTTGCCAAGAGCAGTGCCCAAGCGAGACAGGACCCTGAGCGGTTTGATAAGAGCCGTGATAAGGTGGAGCCGTGCTGGCAGGCTGCGTGCCGGCAGGCGCACGCTCCTCCTTATCAGGGAGCGCCGCGGCGAAAGCGCTGTGCCAGCGCCGGGAGTGGCACTGTGGGAACCAGTGGTGGCTCAGCCTCCGCGGGGCTGCTCCTCGGGCAGAGGCAAACCCAGATGATCTCATTCTCTGCCTCGGTTTTCTCCAGCGGCACCCACTGCTTGTGGAGGTGCCAAATGAGGGCCCCAGCCATAGGAGGAGAGTGCGTTTTTCACTGGGGATCGCATCAGAGCTGTGGCTTCAGATCCTCCCCCGGTACACGCCAAGGGAGGCATCTGGGGCTGCGAGACAATGGCTCGAAACAATCCCGGTTCTCTGCCAGGGAATATTCATTCAGAAATCCCATCCTGTTTTGATACTAACTCTCTCATGGTTGATCAAAGCAAAAGCAAGAAAAGAGCTTGGCCTCCTACTGTTGCTTTAGCTTGGGGCCAGTTTCAGCAGAAGCTGGGCGAGTGCCTTTATGCTGGGCAGCGTGGCTGGCAGCTGGGCCAGCTGGTGCAGCTCCCTGTTTTGTAGTGGCTTTAAGGTGCCGCTTGCATCTCACTAAGCATCAGGGCCGTGCACCGCTTGCACCGGTTCTCCTCTCCCCTCCTGCTGGGCTGGACGGAGGCAACCGAGGACGTGTGGTTCAGCTCCATGCTTGCCTTGGCTTGTTCGCCCCGCTCCGTGATCAGACATGTCCTCTGCGCTGCAGCCACCTCCTCCTGCATCCCGCTCTTCCTCCAGCCAAAAGGCAGCTGGAGGGAGGCACCGAGTCCTGGGGTGTCTGCTCTTGGTCCTCACCTCAAACGCTCCTCGGGCAGCGAGATGAAAGCGGTTATTGTCATGTGTCCCCTCATCTCCCTCACCCGTCTGGAATAAGTCAGGTGATGGCAAGTTCTCCCTGAATGCTTTGGGGAGCTCTGGAAAGGATTTGGCCTTGTCCAGGGAACAAGGATCTGTGATGTGTCTCGGGGATGGAAATTTGGGGATGGAAACCTGCTGGGGAGAGGAGACCCCCTGTGTAGGGGACCCAACCCCAGCCTGGACTGAGGACAGGAGGGTAGGGACGGCCAGACACAAGGGATGGGTCAGACAGACACCAGGGATGGGTTGGACACCAGGGATGGGTCAGACACCAAGGATGGATGGATCAGATACCAGGATGGATGGGTCAGACACACACCAGGGATGGGTTGGACACCAGGATGGATGGATCAGATACCAGGATGGATGGATCAGACAGACACCAGGGATGGGTCACTCGCTGACAGCCCTGGGTGCCCGATCATCTCACTCCACGTCAGCAGAACCGTGGCTCTGCTGATGCCCAGCACGACCCGCTGCCGATCCAGCACCGCCTGCCCGTGCCGGGCCACTGCCCTGGCACAAGTGCAGGACTCCTGGCTGTGGGGGTGACCCTTCCCCTCGCCCCAGCCCCCCTCGGCTGCACCGTTCCTTCAGCCCATCGGGGTTTCAGCAAGTGCTTTGCCAGTGGCTTGGCGGGGACCAGCCTTCGCTTCCCCCTCCCGAGGCAGCGTGTTCCTGAGTG